CGCTGGGCACGCAGCCCATGCCCATCCTCCAGCCCCACCGGCTGACCCCGCGCGCCCGGCCCCCGGCCGGACCCGGGGCGGTGACATCCCTTCTCTTGGTGCTCCCTCGCTCTCTGCGTCCTGCTGCGGCTGGGAGGAGGCAGCGGCGGCCGAGACCCGGGTTCTGCAGGGCAGCGCAGTCCCTGCGCCGCAGAGCTCCATCAAGTAGGTCGTGGTCTCTCAGCCTTTCGGTTTCTGTTCTTACTCCAAGGTGTTCTCTGGGTGCTTCACCTTTACAGCAGATCACTTCCTAAGGGCAGGGAAGCAGAAGCTAAATTCATCCCGACATGGGAAACGAGCGATGCGGAAAGATTTCTTTTTTGTCTCAGTGAAACCTTGCATCCCCTTGCAGGGTCTTTCAAAGCAGCTCTGTGGTTGGGGGGACCACATCACTGTTTTCAAGGGATGCGGTGATAAACGAGCCTGAAAGAACGCGGGTTTCAAGAAAGAAAAGAAAGAAGTGCTGTGCCTTAGATCACTGCGGTCAAGAGAGGTGTGAACAACAGCAGCAAGGTCAGAGCAGGCAGTTTCCAGATCTCTTTATGCTGTTTGGAAACAGAGAGCAAAAGCCCCTCACTCAGGTGCGGTGGCAGGGCCCTCACCGAGGGCTCTTCTGCCCCAGGGCAGCTCGTCTGCGCGCTGCTCCTGGCCGTGCTCCCCTCGCAGGCCGGCTCGCTGCCCGTGGGTCTGTTCTCATGCCCCGGCAGCACATCTGCTCCGCCGGCAGCCGCCCGCTCCGCGTGCGGGACCCCATACTTCCTACCCCTTTTTCCTTCCTCCTCTTCCTTCACTCAGTTCCAGGTCCCTTCCCCCACCCACCACGGCTCCCGTGCTGTCCTCAGTCATCCCACCCACCACATCTTCCCCTCGCCCCTCTGGTACCTGCTCACTTCTGAGCTCCCCCAACAAGGAGGGGGGAAGGATTTTACACGCCAGGCTCCCCCTCCAGTGCAGCTGCTTCCCCACGGGCATCCCACTGGGAAAAACACGGGATGTTTGCCACCGTGGTGCCACTGTGCCACCCACTCTGCCTTGCTTCTCTTCCTCCAAGCTCCCCGTTAAGGGTCTGGAAGGAGCCTGCTGCTTCTCGAGCTGCTGGAGGAAATGAGCCCAGCCCTGACCTTCCCCCCCAGCCAGCCACCAACTTCCATGGTGGGGGATGCTCGCCGACCAGCTCTCCCCAGTCTATGGTGGGGGGAAAGCAGGACACGCTCCACAACACCGGTGACCTTGTCTGCCGATCCCCAGCCTGTTCCTGCTCCTCCAGCGGCAGCAAGACGTTTTACAGCCGTCTCCATCCTCTTCTCACAGCTGCAGGCTGCTGCCTAGCCCCTCTGACGCTGCAGCCATCTCATCTACCCCACCTTAAGCATCTCCAGCAGCCACAGGATATGCTGCTTATCAGCTGGCATCTCTGAAGACATCTTCGGCTCAGCCGTACCTGATCTGTGCTATGGGGCCTCTGCTCGTTTCCTCCCTCCTCCCCCCAGTCTCCGGGCTGCCTCGTGGGCTGGAGCGCTTGCGAGCCCTGACGCTGGGAACAGCGTTCGGGCCACCAAAGGTGGTGCCGGGCAGAGCCCCTTCACGCTGCAGAGCTCAGCAGCGTGGGCTGCCTGTGCTGTACCTCAGCATGGAGGCTGCTGCCGCCATTGCAGACCAGGGCCAACGAAAAGCGACCTGGGCATCAGCCGTGCCAGCGGAGACCTCTGCCTCGTGCAGTCGGTGAGCGTAACGATGCGGCGGCTTCAGCTCGTGACGTAAGGTGTTTCCCTGCTGCTGCTTACTGCAGTTCAGAGAGGTTGTCCTCAGGTGACGGCTGTCAGCTTCCTTCCAGGGTGCCAGCAGCGAGCAGCGAGCCTTTGTGGGAAAACCCGGGGAATCGGGAGAGCGCTCCGCGCCGAAGTCACGTCAGCGTCTGCTAGTGCCCGAGGCACTTGCATATCCCCCCAGCAGCCGAGTTATTTGTGTGTTTACCAGCTACTTCAGGACTGAAGTCTGATTCTGCGGCGAGGCAGTGCCCTCAGAAGCTGACCACAAGGTCTGCTGGAGGCAAACGGCTTCGCCAGGCGCCTTCAGTCACAGCATCCCCCTGCACGCCTCTGGGAGCGGTGGGATTTCACCAGACCCCTCACCACTTCACTGTCCCCTTAGGGTGGGAAGAAACTTCACTTAAAAGGTTAAATTCCTTCCAAAGTGCGTTTAGACGCAAGCAGAAATTGAGTGGCATGAACACAGGCTGGCCAGTTCGGAGAAGTGTTCCGTGTGCATGTCACACAGAGCCGCTTCGCGTCGCACAGAGCCGCTTCGCGCAGGATGGGGTCTGACGGAAGCTGATTTTTATCAGCCCGTGAACTCGCACTCTTCACACAGTTGTGACACCTCCGGTAGCCTGTGCGACAGAGGCTCAGCACCTACTCTTGTCACGGCATTCCCAGGGGCAGGATGCCTGCCCTGAGCAGGAACCGTTTAATGTGGCCCTCGAGGGCAAGTGCCTTGTTTTGCACCTCTTCCAGGTGGGCCTTTCTCCTTTACATCTGCAGACTCCTACTCTCTCCTGGAACGAGCAGGCTTAAGATCAGGTCACTCCATCCACCCGTTGTTCCCCTCCCAAGGAGGCGGCACGCAGCGTGCCCTGCACCCTTAGGGTTTCAAGCAAGCCTTTGGGATGCAGAAACTCAGATTCAGCTCTGTTTTTCTCAGCTTAGAGTGGGAGCTCCAGGTTTGCAAGGCAGCCCAAAGGCTCAGAAACCTGCCCAGTGAGAGCCAGAGCACGAGGATGTCATAGAATCATAGAAAGTTTTGGGTCGGAAGGGACCCCCAGAGGTCATCTAGTCCACCCCCCCCGCAGCGAGCAGGGACACCGCT